CTTTCACTCACTAGAAGTAATTCAATCTTAATATAATACATTTAATTATATATACTCTCACTTTACACCTTCATCCCTTACTTACATTTTCACGCGCTTCTGAGAAGTCTCACATACACTGTTTTAGAGTGATTGTTTAACTTCCATCGGTTATTTTTGTTAACGTGATTACACGGATAATATCTATCGCGATCGATCGCGATCACGGTATATCTTATGCGTGCACACGATGAATATAGGTACTCTTTTCTACTTATGTTTTTCTTTGATGTGCATTGGCTTTTGACTCATTTGCCTATTGTGTGTGTATATGACTTTGTGTACACCGTATATATGTATGTTTGTGTCTGTGTGTATCGTGTGTCATGCGTATGACATGTTTACTTATTATATTATACCTTCTCCGCCACGGTATCTCAATTATACAGTAACATTTTGCTAAGGCATTCGTTATGGCAAGTATATTTTAAAGGTGCCGTGTCTAAATACGCTCGTGAAATACTTCTCGTACACTTTATAAAAGTATAGTCGGCCGGTTAATTCCCTAAATATATATAATATAGCCAGGCTAGGAATCGAATCGGTTTTTTTTTTTAAAAAGAAACAACGGCCCCATTAGAAAAGAAGTGTGACCTTGATTCGAATTTATATATATTTATATTCATATATATATATAGGTATGCGGCTTGCACATTCGCGGCCCGCGCTAATTTTTCCCTAATCGCATGCAGTTCCTCCATCTAGATTTGTACGCCTAATTATCCCGTTAGTAAAATATATCGAATTGCAAATTGCTACGTAAATCGCAAAACGAGAAGAAGTTAGATCTCGAAAAGCACGAGTGTGTGTTCCTTCGGCCAGAACGCGTACGTACTACTAACTTCCACTCGGTATAAAGAGTGACGCCTAACGAGGTGCAACTGCATCTCCGAGATGTCGTACGATAGCTTGAGATATTCGTACATACCAAGCGTTATTAGCTGAAGGTCTGATTGATTTTCTCGTTCGAATTAATTAAATGCTTGCTATTAATTATTGCTTACTCACAGCATGAGCTGACCTTAATGAAATACGCACAGCATCGTAGAACGGCGTAGTCGGCATATTCATTTATTATTATTATTTTGTATTCTTATGACACATGTCAGATTTTTTGCGAGTAATGGCATAGCATTAATGAAAGTAATTAGCTCGCTCTTGCACTTAGAATTATTGAAATTTGAATATAAATTTCTACGTATAAATTTGGATAAAACTGTCATAAATTTATTTATCCTGCACGTATTCTCAACGAAAGAGTCTAATTATATTGGATTCTTTTAATATTAATATCCTCAAATATATAATCAAAGATAGGTTTTATAAGCTATACCATTAGTATCGCGAAAGATGCCGACACTGTACTTATAAAGAATCGCAGCATTCTTACTCTGCCATGTATTTCATCCAAATTTTTGTATCATTTCTGCAGCTAAATTTTCGAAAAGTAAATCTTTAGATCGCTAAAGAAACGGAAGCGAAGTCGCGTAGAAAAATCGAAGCACATTTCATTGAAGTATCTCTATCCTTTCATTCATCTAATCGCTTCGTTCAATCAAGCACTTTCATTATAACTGATAATGCTCTCCGTCTGCTTTCCTTTGCACGCTCGAAAAAACGATCGTAATTACAAACGCAATAACATGTAATAGAAAAAACGGTAGATTCATATCAGCGCCGCAACAGCGTACATACATATTCATACCATAAGCACGACATCGAATTCCCGCTCATGGTGTGAACCCTGTAGAAAACTCTTTCGTAGAAAATTGACGCTAGGGTAATGTTTTCTTCATTTTATTTTTTTTTTTTTTACAAGGCGTACTACACGCAGGTTTCCCAGCTAGCTGCCCTAGCTTTCACACGGTGTCACGATATTTTGAGAGAAAAAGCACGAAAATTGAAAATTCTTAATATGAAATTTTAATTAGCAGCAGATATTATCGAAACAGATATGATATAAATTCGATGAGATAGTCGTTTAATGCGACTTCTGACGAGAGATTACCTGCTGCTCCTTCGATCGTGGAGTTTTATGGCTTAAAAAAAAAACAAAAAAAAAACTGTAGCATGTTCTAGCACCATTGCATTTAAGAAACTGTTAAGATCTACGTGATTACACACTTCTATTTAATATTATACAAGAATTACCGCACGCGCGTATGAGCTCTGATGTGTGCATATTTCGTTGTTTCAATCACATTTGATTTTCGAACAGTTCTAGAAAAACAGACAATGGTAGCGGATCTTCAAATGATACGTTCGCATTTGTCAATAGTTAAAATAATTTTAAACGGTCAATCGGAATAATTTTATACATTGTAGATGTGTTTAATAGTGTGCAACACATAATGGAATAAGAATAAAATATGTTTTTATTGCAAACCGTAATTGTTCTGGGAGTACCGTGTCACCGTGCGAAAACTATTGAGAAACACTTAACAGCGGATCATCTAATAGCATTTTATTTAGCTTTGGACAGTCGCATGTTTCTTTGTCGATCGTTCTTATAGCTTTTGATCCTTGAAACCGGAAACGGAAATAGTAAGTCTACTTCGAAGGGAAGATAATTTTAAACCGTCGTTCTCATTTAGCATGATATTTAACGAATGAGATTACCGATGAATACTCGAGAGATGTACAATATGTGGAAATTTTGTCTAAGTCTTAAATCTGCTTTAAGTGAACTGCGAGATTGAATTCTAAAAAAAAAAAAGGAGAACAATAAATCGCTATACCAATAAAGCATTTTTGCTGAGCGCACTGTAAAAACAATTCTCGCATCCAGCGAATACTTTCGCGACATCTTTCAACAGAACGATTGATATGTGAGATTTGAAACACCCGTTTACGATTTCGTCCTTTTCTTCGCAGCATCCCATTCTGCATGCTCTATATAGATCGCGACTAAATTGACGCACTTTAATCAGCCTCGGACGACAATTGTATCTAATGCTCTTGTAATTCAGTGCACGCTATCCGGTTAATTTCTTGCAACGAATGCAGACCCGTTTCTCGTCTTTTTTTTTTTAATTTCGAGCTTCCTACTCAATTCATTGCCGGTACAGACACTATATGCGTCCATTTCCGATTTCCGGATCTATTTCTCCTCCCTCTTGCCCTCCCTCCCCCCCCTGGTCTGATCCAATATATATTCCGCTGTTCACGCGCAACGTGACTCTCAATACAAAAACTATTCACCTCTTTTTTATTTTTATTTAATAAGTGTCTCACTCTTGTCTGTTTATGGAGTAAGGTTCACACGCCTCAAATAGTCACACGATTTCTCTGTTTAATCCTAAAGAATTATTCTCCCCCGTTTTCTTTTTTATAGTGCGCTATAGAGATGTGTATCTCCTTACGTACATATTACGTACGGTATTATGTACATGTAATATTTCGTATATGTATGCGAGTAGAGTACTAATACAGCACTTCCTTGCTGCAGTTTCTTTTTCTTTTTTTATCGTTTTATCGACATAAGTAGACAGTGGCTAAATAGTGTCTATCAGTTAGCAGTGGTAGTAAGAGTACAGCTTCCTCTGTTTCTTTTGTATACAATCACTTTGTTCTTTCCCTCGCACTCGTCTCGGAGCACAGTAACAATGTTATATATATATATTTATTTATAATATTTATATTAATGCGTACTCTCTTAGGCCCGAACCGGCAGATTAATCCTAGACCGTTCGTTACAGATTAAACTATAAAAACGTCGACATGCGGTCTATGACTACTCTACCATTGGAATGTTTTGACCTCTCGTACGCATTCTCTCTCCTTACACTCTCGTGGCTATTATATAGTATTTATATTTATATTTATATATATTGAGTATGAGACGTGTGTTGAAGATGTGTAAATAATGACAAAAAACTATGTCTCTCTTACATGAAAAATAGGTACTTTTTTCTTTTTCATTTTCTCTCTCTCGTTCTCTCTCTCCCTCTCGCACGCGTGTGTAAGTGTTCATGTTTACATATATATATATATATGTATGAAACGCGCGTCTAAACTCTTATTATGTGAAGATATATGTACATTGATGTATTCGCGATAACGTGTATACGCGTCAACTAGAAAAAACGATTGGCTCACTCCTTTTCAATCGTGCGCCCGCTATAATGGAGTCTCGTCATCATAGTATAAGTAAAAATAACATTCGGGCGTTATTTTTAATAGAGGATGATCGATTTATTTCTCACGCAGAAGAGAGCACCGCAATCTCGAATTTGAGAGAAAATAAAAGCGAATAACTGCGTTCGATCGCATGCTTACTAATGTCGAAAGGACCTCCCTTTAATCCTAAAGAGCACAGCCGCGATTTAACATACTCTATTTAAAAGAAATGTGTTAACTTCATTAATTTTATAAAGTGCAAAAAAAATAATTTTCTTTTTAATGAATTTGATAAAAATATGTTTGCCTTGTTGTAATTTTATAGAAATTCAGGAACTGCTTATGTTGTAACATGATGCTACAAATATACTTGTGCTCTTTGGGATTAAGAAGTAAGGAGCACGGATTAGGATTTATAGTTGTGTAAACTAAATAGTACTATAATTATCTTTTAAAAACTTCTTTAGCCGAATGCTAGGAGGTATTTGAAATGAAATATTCTGTTTGATTTCGGTTAGCGTCTATAAAATATACGCAAAGCGAGATCGATCGGTATGGTTCAATTGGCCTCGAAGATATTGGTATTTATAAAACGTTATTTAAAACGGAATACAATAGATCAAGCTCCGGGGGGATTATGATGTATAAACTGCTTGTAAGTATCGGTTTAGTTGGTGTCAAACCATTTCGCACGTAGAGCTGAACATTATAGGGTTATCTTGCAACACGATATTTAACCACTATGCATAATACTTCATATATGTGTATAACTGTATCATTTTTTTGGTAATTTATTTAGTCGCCTAATTATGCGGTAGTGGTGTAGTAATCATTGCAAGTAATAATCGTAACAATAATAATAATTTATTACATAGTATTTATAGCTTTTTTATAGTACATCGCGTATTTTCTTGTTTTCATTTCATAAAAAGATACTTTGCTTGCATTACGCTTATAATTCATTCATTGACATGTAACCACAGCGGCCCGAAGGACTCTCAACAAGTAAACACAGCCTTCAGGCCCTCGGTAGGATTTGTAGAACCGGTTAATTCTTATAATCGCATTTCAAACTCTCTCTTTTTCTGGATTCGTCCGCGGATTCTTAAACGCGCGACCGTAATTTCCTTCTTACCGATCATATTTCTGTACCAGGACGGTCTATCCGACATTGAGTCGCAACATGTAATCACTCGCGGCTTTAGTGTCATTATAATATAAAATGAACTGAAACGTAGCAAAATAAAGGAGGATCTATCAAATAAGCGGAGTCATAGAACGCAAACTTATTTCGCGTCTGAAATCAGAAAAAGAGCCTTCACTGATAAGATATTTTTAACCCATCTTACGTGAACCTTTTCCCCTTTGTTCTTAGTTCTGTATTTCTTTCCCCGCACGGAGTATTACGTTTTTTACTTATTTACGCGGCTCTAATGCAGTACGAAGCTAAGGATAAATCGCGTCAACTTAATCGGAGTACTCTGGTCTTACGACGATTTCTCTATGTTAGTTGTTGCTTTAAAAAAAAGAGCAATCTAATTCTTCACGTAGATTATATTGATTTTTTTCTTCTTTCCTAAAGTGCGAAACGTCAACTTGCAAAATCACAGAGAATTACGCTCGTTACACTGTTACTTAGGATTATACCTAATTTTTTTCCCCACGATGTGGGCTACATATTCTCTATAAACTTCTAGGCCTGCTCTTCGTCGTCTTTGAGATCTTCATTCTTCGCTGCGTCCATCCATCTTTAATATTGCATCTGATGCGACGCGGCGATTGTTTTCAATGAAGAGACACGGCGTAAAACGTGGCTCCATGTTCTCCAACCGAGATACAGATATTTTTTCTTTTTTCTTCCTTGTGCTCGTAAAAGATTAAAATTTCGCGATTATTTGGAGTTGCTTCGTCATCATTTTCTAAAAGGAATCGAATCAAGTTTGAAAGATAAAGGGGCCTAAAATGTAAAAGTTTTTCCTTTATTCTTCAAACCTTTCCTTTCCATCACGGAATTATTTTGCGATATATGTTTTATTAAGTTATAGTAGTTTCATAATTATTGTATTTTATTTGTTCGCGGAAATCTGTATCATGATTGGAGCATAGGATTCGATTTCGGTGGTTTTGCGGTCCTGGACGAAAATGCCGTCAGATTAATATAAGAAGGCGCTATAAATCGATTGCTAAAGGACTACTGGCATGGCCGATATCTATGTATAGACCGCTGCTATAGGATCGCCCTAGCACCGGGCACAAAACCACCACAGTTATCCTATCGATGAGATAAGTTCTATCATTCTTCTAACATGGAGCCGTTAGTATCTCTGCATATGCTAGTAAAACGAGTGTCGTCATTGATACGAATCTTTGTGGAAAGTGTCGCTCTTGTGAAAGATCCTCCGTCCTTCCCTCGTAAGTTCTTGGCTCGCGAAATTGTTCTCAGACTTTGGTCTGGGCAAGAGGCAAGCCGGCAGCGTTCTGAGCTCCATGCTATGTACCTGAAATGACAAATTTTATTAAGATGATACGCATATGTATCTATTTATTTCTATAAAGAGAAATTGCAGAATATTATTTTATTTATACTATTCGTTCGGATTAAGAATAAGTTGAAATCGGTAAGATTAAGGATTAAAAATATGTCGAGAATGATAATGTATTTCTTCTTTTGGTTGAGAGAAGAAATGCTATAAAAAAAGGCATGTATTTATAGCTTAATTATAAATTTTACGAATGTAAATGTCATTTATTCGTGTACTTACTGATTCTTCACTGGCGCTGGCATGCGCGGCCTGCTCCGCGAGCGCATTTACTACGGCGTTTATCGTTTTTGATTCGCTGCCAAGATCTTCCTCGCGATGAGCCACCAAGTTAGGATTCTTCCCAATTTTGTTTAACCTACAAGGAGAGTATGATTAAGCGTAGGGAATGTCGCACGGGACATAACCGACTACTATTCACACCAAATTCTAAACCGCTTAGCAGCACAGTGATTCATCCCTTTCGTGGCACTTTATAACCCGCCGCTTATCTGTACTCAACAGCCATTATTATTTGTTTCGATACTACTTGCACTGCTAAAGGTAGTCGAATGAAGTAAACTAAAAAATCACTTATTTTTGTCACACTGATCACGGAATTTTGAATAATATGCGAATATATGAAACAAATAATAAAATAAACGATCTATTAAGACCGTATATGTGAATACATAAGAAATAAAAATATAAAGCCTGTAACGATCGAAGCTGGATCTTAGATGCTTAAATAATTTTCATGTGAATTTATATACCATAAGTGATCTTTTGAATTGCGCGCCGAATTAATTGTTTTAAATAATATATGTGGTATATAAATTTACATGAAAATTATTTAAGCGTTTAAGATCCAGTTTCGATTACAGGCTTTAGACTTTTATTTGTTGGATAAAAATAAAATAGTAATCTCGATAATCAATTTTTATTTAAGAAGTTTTTATAGCTATTTTATTTTTATTTTTAATTATTAATAAAATATTTACAAACTATGAAAATACGATTGCGAATGAAAATATTTTTAACAACAATTTATAGCTTGTATTTTAACGGAAATCTCGTAACACTTAAATAATTTATAAATTTATAATACAATTCTTTGTATAATCAAGTCTGTATAAAATTGGTTTGTATGTGGACGTGTGACAAAAATGATATTTCAAATAATTTGTAAAATATGTTATGCCAAATTATAAATAGAACATTATCATGTAATGAATGTGTCGAGAGTGTAAAACTTTTGTCACGATGTTGAACTACAATTGTTATTTATTTACTCAGATAATATCCGATTTCATAAAATTTGCACTATATGCATCGGAAATTTTCCCTTTCATGCATGTGAATATAAAATAAATTCCGGTCATTCGAAATATCGTCGTATTAAAGATATTTCGAACGGATTTAACCCTCTCAACTCATTATAAGTATCAGCTGAATTCCGTAAAACGCATGATGTGCATGATGTGTAATTTTATCCTTGTTTAACATTTGATAAACAACAAGAATAAAATGATACATTATGCACATCATGCGCTTTACAGAACGCAGCGTCATAAGTTAGTGCGCTTTTATCATAAATTTGTCTCAAATTCTTCCCAACTCCCCAACTATCTCGCTTAAAATTCATAAAAAAGTCAATGAGCGACAATACGTCGCTTTAAATTTTTCCTTCGATAAATAATAATATTTCATTGACGTATGTGTGTGTATGTGTGTGTAAAACAAGCGTCGAGTTCTAACAAACACATACGAAAATCAGTATGTTAAGGCGAGAGCGACATGATTTCCACAGGCAGCAAATGACTGATCTCCGTTTTGTCGGACAGTACGAAATGCTCAAATAAAGTAGATGGGAGTGGGAGTGATGATTGACATCTATTAGCACACCAACTCGATAGAACAAACCTAACCAAAGCTTATACCTCTCGGCGGCAACACTCTCCATCGTTCTGCGCATTAGGGGATACTGGTCCAATACGGCGTTGAAATGGTCCACCGAGAGGCTGAAGAGATTGCAGTAGGTCTCCGCTCGGACCGACGCCACCCTTCTCGCGTTTGTCAACAGACAGATTTCGCCGAAGTAAGACCCGTCCGATAACGAGGTCGCTACTTCGCCGTTTGCCATCACGATATCGACTATGCCTTCTTGTATGAAGTACATTTTCGAACCGATTGTACCCTCCTTAATGATGATATCACCTGCAAGTATATTACACGCTTGAATATCACGCACGATTCCTGAGCGACGCACGAAAAGATTCCTCCTCGTGTTACGCCCAGACGTTTTATTTAGCGAGTAGGAAACGCATTTATGACACTTGATACCTGGCTGGAAGACTTCGTATCTGAGTTTCGTCACGACATCCGAGACGAAATTCGAATCGGCGTTGGCGAAAAAGGGCACGGACGCCACCAGCGATCTGCAGTTGTAGTTTATCACATCCTGAAATGAGGCACGATTTTAGTAGACATATCTGCATTTTCTTTAATCTAAATATGGTATATCTTTTCGATGCCTTCTAAAAAATCGATACTATGTTGAATATTAATATCATCAATTGGAAGGAATAAAAGATTTCTTATATTTTCTATCCGCTTTCCCTGAATATTTTCTCTCTCGATATAATATTTTCTCAAAATAGGTTTTTTTCTAGAGACCGATACTATGTTGAATATTAATAGATTTATTCATAATAAATTTATTGCGTGAATTCTCAAAAAAATTTGTCTATAAAATAAAATAAATATATATTCATGCGTTGAAAAGAGAAAAAGCGAAGATTCTGAATGCAAAAAGTGCAAGTAACGCGAATAGTTTAATATCATTAATTAGAAAGGATGAGATTTCTTGGATTTTCAATTTCACAATTATCAAAATATTATACATATATCATTTTTAATCTCAAATAAAGTGTTTTATATGAATCCTATCGTACTTCTCTCAACTTTTCCGACAGCTCCCCAAGGATCAGTTCCTCATCGAAGAACTTTCCTTGATATCGATGTTCGAAGTACTCCGTGATCCTCTGCCTCATTTCTCTCGGTAGTTTTCGATAGGCCATGTATTCCTCTACTTGTTTCACCTACGAACAAGTCAGACGGGAATTAAATTCCGACAAACTCCAAGCGAGTTGGCGTTATTATAGATGTGTTATCTACCTTCTCGCGGTATTGTCTTCTCGAGGAATCGAGAGATTGAATGAGATTCGTCGCGTGTCCGAGGAAAAGAGCGTAACACGTCGCACCGCTGATCATGCTGAGCATGGTGAGCCACATATCGGTCAAGGACTGTGGCGGAAACCTACCGTACCCGATACACAGCATGTGCGACATGGCTTTGAAGAGGGCCCACGAGTATTGTTCCAGCCAAAATGAGTCCTGCAAGTAGGCGTCAGGTTGTAACACGGAAATACATTTTGCAAATCGATCGCTAATTTTGGCACAAAGTGCACAGCGTTTGCGCGGAGCTTCGCCCGATTTCTTGCTCCTTGAAAAGTCACTTCATGATTGCTAAACCGCCAAATAATTTTTACGTGTTAGTCGCGCACAGTTTTATTACTTATTTTTGTATATTGAAAAAAAAACACACTTGTTTATAAATAATTAAAAAAATTGTATATTAAGTAATTTGTAAAAGAAGAGAAATTAATTGAAGGTAACGAAGAAATTAATTGAAGATAATGAAGATAATGCAAATAAAAAGTTGAATGAATGTTGAGCTTTAGAGAAAACGGCATTAAACAATTAAAAAAACGATACGTTAAATAATTTGTAAAAGAAAAGAAATGAATCGTAAGAAGGTAATAAAAGTAAATTGAATAAAAGTGAATTTAGAGAAACCGATGTTAAACAGATTATTTTTCAATCCTGGAATATTTACATTAATTTAATGATTATTAAAATCGTAAACAGTATATTGAAATGCACTGAGAGAAATGAGTTTGTTATTAGAACAGTGATAACAAATGTTATTAGAAAAGCGATAACAAATGTGATGATTTGACAGGAAAACGAATCGATCAATATTATTGCGAATCATTTCTCATTATTTGTCAATGTAATAAATAATACATGATTTATACAAGATAAATCACATTTGTTAAATGTGATTTGTCGTTGTTTGTACCTTTTGTAAATAATTAGTACGGCTGGCAAATAAAAATCTATCTAGCAGATACATGATTGCTTCTATTACTAATAATAATTGATTGGAATAGCAGACTAGTATCAGTCTCCATGACAGAAAACTCTTGTATTCGTTTTCAGTACCGACATTTGTTGTTACTGTATCTACAAATCATTTGTTGCAACTGGTAGTTTGTTAAATTAACAAAATCTTTTTTCTCAGTGTAATATCGTTGATTACTTACTTGTAACTCGTTAATGGCTACCCATGAATTACTGGGAAATCCTTGAAGCATAGGGACCAGGAATTGCAGGCAGCCACTCCAATGGCCGATCAGGAGCATCATACAGATCAGGTTAAAAATCCGCATGAACACCGACGCCATATTCAGGAACTGCCAACAACAATGTTAAGAGTTTTATTCTCGTGCCGAATCGGGCGTGTCGGAATGTTTCTCACACGTTTTTTTTTTAAACTTCTCTTGTTTATCCAAAGCTCCGATTGCGTAGTGTACAGCAAGTAAGCGAGTGTTGCACAAAAACGCGGTAAATATATAATTCATCGAATACAATTGGTTCTATTACTGTTTTTGCTCAGATTTAGGAATAATGAGTAAACTACGTGATAAGATCCGTCACTAAGATCCGATCGTTTATTGATAATTATTCAACGAATATTTTGGTATTAATTCTGTAGAAAATGAAGCTGTTTTTATTCTTTAACTAATCATTCATATGCTTATGAGAAAAACAGCAAATGTTTAGATAAAACCGTGTTTAAAATCGAAATTCAAGATTTTTTGCAAAATTTTAAATTATTTTTAAAGTAATTTCTTCTCTACTTAACGGAATAATTGATTAAAAAATCTTTACTGTAGACAAAATGGATAAGTATGAATCAATGTTCAAATTCAGATCTTAGCGCAGATATATCCAGTGTCTCAAAATTCGCGAACCAAAATGCTATAGCAAGAAAGTTCTCAAAGGAATAAGTTGCGGTAGTTTTTAGGACATTAAGGTTAAAAACTGGCCAATCATAGATTATAGTTAAACGATCTATTCATGAGTCATTAATATTAATCGTCGTAGTCGATAATATTAATTGCGCATGTTACACATACAGACAATAAACAAAAGATTATGTGCATAACATCCATATATGTTGTGTATAAAGTTTAACATCAATATTTGTTACGAATTAGTTGATGTTGTTAATAAAAATGTAACGAATAATATAAATTGATAATTTATTGAAATATCGCTATTAACTACGTTATTAATTTGTGTATCATATCAATAGAAGATATGAATAAGATATAAATAATTGCAAAGTGACATACATAGGAGCCATTATTTTATTACAATAATTCTAATCTTTTTTTATTTTGTATCCTTTGATTCTCTTTAATCTTTAATTAACCGAAAATTTCATTAAATTTTTAAAAATTATTTTACGTCAACATATCAATGTTATTGTGCGCGTAAACAATTTTTTTATTTAAACAATTAAATTCTAGATAGTCGATTATTTATCAATTATTTATTTATCAATTATTTATTTGTCTTTATTAGCTGTCTCTGATATTTCATATTGCACATATTGATTTTCATCATTTATTATTCTTATTTTTGTAATAAGTCGATCAATTAAAATAATTAATTGTTTGACTGATATTCACTATAAAAGCAATTATATAGTGATACTCAAAATGTTCCATATTTGTTTAATAAAAAAATCATTTACATTTTTTAAAATTTTTTATTGTATTGGCTTAATTTTTAATCCCTAGAAATATAAATGAGTATTTTATTAATGAAATTTAAATATATTCATTCATATAACAAAAAATTTGTATGTAAAAACACTTTCATAATAAATATAAGAAGAAAAAATATATTATTTTTTATGTCAAGCACATTAGTGAAAAAATTACGATATTTTAAAATTAAATATCCACTTGCATATGCAATATCTATGATATTTTTTTAAGCCCTCACTGTTTTAAAGTTTTTGTATGACTAACCTTGCGCTTTGCATCACAAATAGAGTAAGCCTTAATGTTTTTTTAACTTGTTATAATAGTCAACAAATTATAGAAATATCAACGTCGGAAAAAAACTGGATGTATCCAGAGACGCGGGAAAAATTTAAATTTGTAATTCATAATCGAGCGAAGTTTAATCAGTTAGTTCAAAATTATTGAAATGTAATGACAAACGAAATTATTTCACTTTAAAATTCGCATAATCATGGATCAATATTCAACGAGGTATGTAAATGTAAATAAATAGTAAGTAGTATAATATTAATATTACGTAAATAATAATGAGTAGTTGTAATCAGTATACTTTTGAGAGAAAAAAATTAATGAGTAAGTAATAAGAAAGAAATAAAATAAATTTTTTAATGTAATTTAAGATGCAACAAACGGTATTATACGGACATTATATACGCACATAATCTTTTGTCTGTGAATGAAGTGCGAAATCATTACCAATGTCGATGTGCGATTCACGGACACATGGCCTTTTAACCGTAATTGGCTAAATCTATAATTTAAACTTTTATATCTTAAAAATCATCTTGCTGTAGTATTTTAACTCATAAATTTCGCAATACACTGTATTGAGTGAGAATGTCACACTTTTCCTATGTTGTCATCGTCGTTCTCATACTTTTGAGATTCTTTCTTTTTTCGTCCGTTAAGAAAAGCATGCTACATTAGAAAATACGCATCACGTGGCACACAAAAGAACAATTCAATGTAACCTAAAACGTTGATAAATAACTGGTTATTCTACGAATGCTCTAACAAAAAATATCAATCATTTGCAATTGGTTGGGCCAAGATTCTCAAACCGCTTATGCGCCAAATATTCATGATAATATGACGTACACAAAAAGAAAAAAAAAAGAGTCAGAATCAATCGACGCTCTACCATGACGTCGATATAATCCGTTTGGTTCCAAACGTGAATTACAAATTGCTCGGCTCCAACGTGCGCAATAAGTACGATATGGGAATCCGTCCATAAAATAAAAAGCTGGAGAACACGCGGAGAACGCACCGACATGGCTAATTTACCGAGTTAACCCTTCGAGATTCCGATCCATATCTTATTTTGATGATTATCTTTCACATGGAGAACTGCATCTTGATTATCTTCTCAATAATTAATACGCACAATTAAGTAACTTGTTTCTTCTTTTCCTAGTAATTGTGCGTTGAAATGGAATATTAACAGAGATATGTACAATATATAGTCTTGGGGTTGCTGAAGAGACCACATTATTGATATTAATAAAAATCTTTGAATTAACTAAACGCAAAAATTAGGAGGTCGTGCAATGAACTTTATACTAAAATCGAAAAAAATTAAAACTTAACGTCCACTGCACTACCTTTTAATTTTGCGTCTATTTTAATCCTATAAAAAGATTTTTTATTCTGTCCAGACAATTTGGAGATTTTTATCCGACTGTAATGTCGATGTAATTTTGTCACTCTAGCATCCTCATTTGTTAATGGCAATGAGTCCAAATTTCTGAATTCAGATATATTTTATCGTTTAATTTTATATACGTACGAATTTTTATAAGAGATTTTTATACGTAAACAGAAATTTAGAAGTTAATTTGATTTTATTGTTATAAGGACCTTGAAAAAGTGATTGATAATACTCGAAGGGTTGATGGAGTCGGATAGTCTCAGCGTCCTCCTATTAATCGAGAGATAAGGATAGAGTTATCTAAGGATCATTGAAGGTATCATGAAGTGCGACTCATGTTCATGTATGTACATAATGTATGTACATATGTGGCGATGACATATATATCTGCTTCCGCACTCGTATGCGTGCGGTACTCGCAACGAAACGCGACACGCGCGCTGCAATAATGACTGTGTCATGCACCGTATTTGATCTCTGTTTGAGAAATTCCGTTCGGATACTCCGTCGGTGGCGCAAATGAATTTCCGATACAGAATATATATTGCGCCGTCGACGGGGCATGTGCGAAGAAAATTCTCCCGAACCCGTTATGCGGCGATAAACTGAAGTTTCCGAACTTAAACGCGCTTGCCCAAACACCCGCAAGTAGTTAAAATCTTCAAGCTTTCTCTTTTTATCGCTCACCATATCTATCATACTCGATACACTTTCGTGCTCTTATAACTTACGGAAGTTTGATACTCTCGGAAAGAAAATTCTTGCAGGACTCGTCTCAGATGAAAAATTTGTGCTGGTTAATTTATTAATAAATCTAAGCGACAGTAAAGCGAGGAATAGCTGAAGCTGTTTACGAGGTTCTTGTCGAGTTTTGGGCAATCGCGGTATAATGATCTTGAAATCGTACGGCAGTGGGACTTGTCCCCCTGTATAACAGTTAGGTAATTATTCTTGCACTTAAACCGCAGAAATGATAGAGCCATTGCAGTACCGACAGTAATGATATAATGACGTATAATAAGCTCAAACAGATGTGTTATCTTGTTGAAGATAACTTAGTTCCATGCATTTTGGAAAAATTCCATACAATCTTTCTTTATTTTGTCATGATAAAATTGCAGCAATAAATGCTTGTGAATCTTATAAACGAAAAATATGTAATTCAAGTTACATTTATAATATGTTATTTTTTTAACAATCAGGCTACCTAAATTAAATTAAATAATCAGAATTTTTTTTTATATCAATAATATAATGTTCGTGAAAGAAATTTAGTTAATTGTATCAAGTTGGCTTGCATAGCTTTATCACTTGTGCGATTACGCCGGAAACCTAGTCATAAAAGAGTCGCATTTGCAATTATCGTAGACATGGCCATTAACAGATGCAACAATGTAAAAGGCGACGAGAGATGCATCGATGCCCAATCGCCGTAGGATTTCGATGAAGGGCGGAGATCTGGTTATCTAAATGCGGTAAAATATATTAGGGATACTGGCTAGTATCTATCGGGTGTTATGATACTCCATGGATGATGATCAATGGTAACTGTTTCTGCGCCTACGGGAAACAAGTAAGAAAACATAGGAAACTTACGGACTAGACCACATATAGCTCAATACATTACCTGGTCTACAATTAAAAAAGATCGTGTACACGTGGAGTACACGGTACACACGCGCACGCATACATATATTGTCGATGTCTAACGAGAGATGCGACGTATATGTACGTGCGTGGCGTGATTTCATAAATTAACAAGAATAAAAAGAAAAGAAAGAAGAAAGAAGGAAACACAGAGTAAATGATACACTGTAACTCAACATCAACCTTCTCTTCTACGAGACAGTCACAGGTCTAGTAAAGATGAAAGCTTGATTCTGTTATGTCTCCACGATGATTAATGAACAATCAACGATCAATGAGTCAGCGCACTAATTAACGGATGGCGATTGTAAGTGGCAACAACAAACGCTCTAAAACGACACCGGAAAAACAAAAGTGAGTACTGCAAACTAAAGGTACAACAGAAAACAACCGAGACGAGGTACGGAAGATATACGGGATTTACGGAAGATAAATGTTTGTCGTGAGGGTGAAAGAGTTCCTCGCATTTCGGCCGAGACGAATTTGAGTGATCATGAGCGTAATGAGGGACGACGAACAAAACGCAGCTGCCAAACGTTACGTTAAGTCTCGTTCTTCGTTTTTCTTTTTTTTTTCCGAATTTGCAAGCACATTGATAGCCAGCGATATTACACAGATAAAAGTGCACTTTCTCGGCCGAGAAGCAGCGATAGAGAGCGAGGAATGGACAGCGACAGAGCGGACAGCGGTGGATAAAACGCGCGGCTGGCGAGGGTGGTTACAAGGTGAAAATCGTTTGCAGAGCAGCGGTAGGGGAAGATAAGCGAGCTCTACTTTTATATGCATTGCACCCTAATTGTTATTCCGTTAGCGCTCGCACGTACTGTATCCATTTTCCTCCTGCATCTTTATATCTAAAGTAGCGATGCACACTTCGAGTACGTGGTTGATATACAGTGTGCAATTTGCAACAAAGCGACAGAGAAGGGACGCCCAATTACGTGCGCTCGTTTTCACAGGATCGTGCACACCGTCTAGCGATCAAAAGCGTTTCACAAGATAGTGCGTGGAAACACAGGCGGTTTGCGGTCGTCCATCGGGTCATGGGACGCGAAAGGATCGGAGGGAAAAGGGAGGATACAAGACGGAAGGATCGAGGAGACGTAGATGATACAACAAACAGTCAAGTAGTAAACGAGAAATATAAAGAGACGGAGAGAGGAAGGGTTTAATACGAATATACGATTGTTTGAGTCGGACGCGCCATGCCGGACTTTTGACAACCGATCCCCGTTCGTTCACTTTCACGTCGAATATCGCGCTGTCGATCGGCGATCATCGGAAATTGGGGCCTCTACATCCGCGAGGTGCTGACGCAAAGGTGGCTCGTAATTAATCGAGCACGATGTTTTTTTTTTTTTTTTGTTATATCTATGTTCGTGGGCCTCTAGATTATCATATCACACACATAGTTATGTACATGTACTTTCTCATCGCTAGGCGGGTGCCGATGGTGATTGTATAGAAGCATAGCCTATTGCTGCGGGTATATGTAATGTATAATGCGGCGGAAAAAAGTAAAAGCTGAATGTTTGTAATAAACCAACGAGCCAATCAGCGTACAGCTCCTCCGTCCAATTAACCTCGTCAGCCCCGCTCCCGGTCCTCGCGAGATATCGACAGAACACGGCAGTCGATTGATTAAATCAACAATCCGATTCTCGCGTGATGCCACAAATTATTCGAAAACTTATGATGTAATAAATATCTCGGCAAGGAAAGAAACGATTTAATTGATTTAATTCATTAGTCAAAAATATACATACTAGATTAGTTTTAAGGCAAAAATTGTGGGATCTACAATTTTTGAAATATTTTATTAATATTTTCAGTCATTCTTTAAAGTGCTATTATATATTTATTTATAGAATGTTTTTTAAGAATTTATCGTAACATGATGAATGATAATTCTTTACTATCACGGAGATCTTATTCAATAATTGTGTTAATTAAATATTGGCGGCAAAGAGAGGGTCGACTTCTTTCTATCGAGTCTCGCGGAAAACCGGATGGGAAATCGTCGAGGCTGATTCGTGGTGCGAATCACGTGGACGTGAGCTCGCGCGTTCGCCAGGGCGGGTTACCTTAAAAATAAGTTCGCTTTTGCTGAAACCGGACTTCTTTTTAGTCATATTGTCAGAACTTAGGCGCCCCCTCCGCTCAGTGCGTTTTTTTTGTAGGTTCTGCAATATCTAGAAACAAAAGAAAGCGGGACATAGCCAGACGTAGTAAGAAGAGGTTAATAGAAATTCTGTAGAGGTTAATAGAAATTTCACAGTGTAAGAAAGAATAGGAAACAGAGATAGAAAGAAACGGAATTGAAAGTAACAGTAAGGAGGACGGGAGAGAAAATGTCGGTATAATTAGGCGGTTTTATATATGTATTAATTGACAGAGAGAGTTTGCAAGATGGTATGGTGGTACAGTAGCGAAAAATAAGATGGAAGTAGTATAGGAGATTGTCGGATGGTTGCAGGATCGATTTTCTTTTTCTCGTCTCTCGTGAGGTCAGAAATTTTCGTGTGCGATACTGTAGCCACATTACACAACGAACTGCTGAAAGGCAATCCCATCCCTAAAGTTTCGTCCTTTCGCTATAGTAATATGAAGCACACTCGGATCGCGAAATCCGCCAGCAGATGCGCAAAAGTAGTAATCGACGTCACTGTAGACATTTTTAACGGTGACATCCACTGAATCAGGCCGTACGTACAATCACGTGTGAATCACGTTAGTTTATCTATTTAACGACGAAATAAATTAAGAAAAAAAGTAGAGAAAGATGATATATAATATTTACATAGATATAAGGTGTTAATACCTCTCATTTTCCATCCTCCCTCCTGAACGCTAGTACTGGCACATACACAAGCACATAAACAGAGTAAATAATTACACCAGGTGTCAGTATATCGGTGTTGGTGCGAACGTTTTCGTTTCGCCGGCGAGTGTTGATCGCCGTAATTTGAGTATCAAACGATCGATCGTTCGATCGATCGTATGGGTGATGAGAGATCGGTTAAAGTGTGAGTTGCGGGACGTAAATATAAAAGAACGATTTTCGGTGATGTGAGCGACTGTGTGCACGCAAAAGTATAATCGGCAAGGACACGGCACGATAACGAAGAATAACAGTCCGATAATCCGTGAATTAGGTAATTAGTAATCAACAAGCCATTCGAATATCAAAGCTATCGAATTAGCAGTCGCGCGCCAAGCGTGAAGCCGCAATTCCTTTTCAAGCTTGAATGAAGCTCGATGAATTAATTAGCGGTTCTGTATATATATGGTATCGTATATATGTGGATTTACAGACTGAGTAAAAAACCGCGCGATTAACTTGCAAAGCCGTGTAACTTGATCCTGGGCGTGTCTGTAGAACTATTGAAGTAATTCAACACGCGAACGTAATTGACTTCGCGACACTGTCGATATTATCTTTCATGCAAATTCTATGTCATTGTCTCGATTTAAATCAGCTACCAAAATTTAATTGTAATGTACGCCAAAGAGAATTTGATAGTTTTTCACATGGGAGAGGCTGCTCATTTCGTCTTGAATTAATATTTTACTAATTTAGTAATTTAATTGAATAGGACATTAATTGAAGAAAGGCTAAAAAAAGAAGAAAAGTGCACATTAATTTACGTTTGAAGGAACCAAAATTATTTTAAGTGTTGGTGATACAATACATAAGAAATATTGTCTCGACTTATGAAATTCATATTGATGAAAGAGAGATAGAAAGAGAGAGAGAGAGAGAGAAAGAGAGAGAGAGAGAGAAAGAGAGAAAGAGAGACAGAGAGAGAGAAAAAGAGAGAGAAAAATCTGCAAATGTGATAACTGTGGAATATAAAAATTCTGCTCTTCCCGGGGCAATGTGCGCGCATCGCTGCTCTGCTGAAAGAAACAGTCTGTGACGAGATAAACATTGACAAAAGGAGAATCGCTCCCATCTTTCTGAAAAATTCCATGCAAAAGTCACGAAAAGGCAGAAGAAACTTGAAAATTATCCGTTAAGAGATTACCGCATGTAGTTCGAAGTGAAAGAACATCGTACATGGTCGCACATCGAGATTATAAATACATAGTCAACGTAAGACAAGAATATATTCACGTTAATCGCGATGTCTTTACATCTTATGTATACATCTCAGTAATTGTACGCGACAAGAAACGCGCGATTTACCAAGTACGCGTCGCGAAAATCACGCGGACGTACAATCGCGCGTTTCTGTATGACAGTCATGATTTATCGTCTCTTAATGTGCGTATACACGCGAGTACGTTTTAATTTGCCACGTTGAATGCAACCAGCCCCGACCATTATCGCGGCGGTTTGCTACTGTGCGGCTGTTAACTCTAATGTGCGTGCTCACAAAGGCACTCGTGTTTGTTATCTGATTTAATTACGATGTAAAGGGAAACAGGGTGTATACGTGCCATGGGCAGAAAGCTTTTGCACTCGTTACAAAGAGCACTGCGTTTTGCTGTTTTTTTTTCTAATTAATTAACTAATTAAGAACGAACATAAGGGTGAAATTTTTGAACGCGTTGTTGATTTGTTAAGAAGGTAATACGCACGTATATAAAGGAACTGTTTGTTCTCGCTGAAATTTGGTGACATAATCGATAAATCACATTTTCATAATACAATATACAGAACATAAAAAAAAAACACAAAATTAACATAATACAAATCACACAACGAAAAGTTAATGTTAAATAAATAAGATAGAAAATTTGCGATTCATCTGTTGTTTTTTATCTTCTTTTATTTATGTCTAACGTGATATTTATTTATGAATCCTATATAATGTATTTATTTTTTTTGTATTTCTGTGGTAAAAGTTTTTCATTGAACAATAACTAAGAGAAATTAAAAACTTTTAGAATTAAATTGGCTTCAACTTAAAACAATATCAATATAAAAAAAACTCACCATCTTTCTCTATACATCTTGTACTTTGCTCTTTTAAGATGACAAGCTTTAGTATATTAGGACAATTATAATTTTAATTCCTTAGATTGACATTCGTTGTTCATTTAAATCTAATGCATGACAAATTTCTTTCGGCGAACAATACGAAAAATACTGTACAATAAAAGAAGACATATAAAATAAGAATCGTCTCTTTCAGATTGAGTCTGCGCGATTAATCGACTGTTCTCTCCTTATTTCCTGTCTCTCTTCGCGAAAAATGGAATGCACACATGAATGACAGTACATTATGATGTACGTTTATACATACATATATATAGGTACACATATGTATTCCAGAAAATGTTACACTTCGCTTTCTAGAAATCAACACGTAAGAAGCATCTCTCTCGTGGAAAATTTTCCTCTCGTTGCACAATCGAATCGAGACGAGAATGCGTCATTGGTGATTCGCTGTGCGATCGCGAAGAGGAGCAGCAATTCTCGAGACAAGAGCGGAGACACGAAAGACGCACGCGAAAGAGAGGAAACGTCATATCCGCTACGTGTATATCGGGTGGCGAGATGGTTAAAAGATCGCACGCTGTCGCGTACTTCTTTCGCTTCCGTTGTGGAGGCCAGGGTGGATATCTAATGACCGTCTACGGCGGAAAAAGAACGCTGGAAAATATCGTCGATAATATTATAATATAAACGTGCTCCTGAGAGAAAGAAAGAGAGAGAGAGAGAGAGAGAGAGAAAGAGAAAAAGAGAGAACAAACGAACAAAAATATGATGATATACGGATACATACGTGGGCAGAGGAAAGTACCGACGGCGTCTGCGTAATTGTACTCTCCGTCCTGGCGGAAGTAAAATGTCAAAATGAAACAAAAAGAAACGAAATCGGAATCGCTTCCTCCTCGTTAAATCAGGCATATCTAGACAACACGAAACAACAGGCAATCAGAACGGAACGCGAATGAGGGAGGGACGAAATAATCGGTGGGACTGTGGTGCTCGCTAGAAGTTTATCCCGAGGGAAGGTACAAGGAGAGGAGTAAATTGTAATCGGGAGTAAATAAAACTGGGAACACACACTGAACACGGGCACATCGCCAAGAATTTTGGACAGATAGGGTTAATTAAACACCTAACACTCACAGGCAGACCTACGGTTAGACCAACCAACTTTCTCGTTTGTTGAGTGGTTCGTGTCGAATATCTCGCAGAAATTCTCCATCAGGCTTACTCTTGCATGTTATATAAGAATTTTAAAAGACATTTCCTGTCTTTCACAATCACGCGCTAATAATTGAATGCGGCGATAAGATTCACGACAAATGAAATCTCGGCTCTTCATCGTCACCGTGACCTCATGCGCTACCATTGTCAAAAAATGGTGCATCCGTTAAAAATATACTATCAGTACATTTACATGCACACGTATCTAGATTATGCAAATCGTCACTGTAAGAACGTCGATAATCGCTATTGACTCATACGGTAATGTACATGCGCATCTATATCGTATCAGGCCAATAAAGTTATGCGGCTTATGGGGCCGGCGATAATCGAGAGCCGAGAAATTCGAGGTGAACGTTTCAACAGCGATCGGCACGAACGTCGGCCGTTCCTGCGATCGCGCGATCGAATATTCGACACGACCAGTTCACAATGACTATTCGTGTAACCAAACTCATGTTAGTACCTAGCAGAACGGAACTTTCCAACAAAACCCGACAAAAACAAGGTAGCATCTCATACCAAAAAACTGTTCTCAAGAACTTTGGCGAGGAATCAGCTAGTCGGTGAAACATGGATTTTAACAATATAGTTATAGAAAAACATCGTCACTAAGATATAATACTGCAAGCATTATCATTCTCCATCGATCAATACATACTGAATTCTTCTCAGCTAATATCGCATCTTCTAATCTGTGATCCATGTCACACGTCGCATCGCCAGGACTACGGGACTAAGGGCAAGACTGATCAAGAGCTTGTTGAAGTGTTCTACGCAGTGAAAGCTATTTGACTTCCGTGAAAACTACAGCTACGTTTAGCTCTGTATGAAATATAAAGTTATACTGTAACTTCATTAATTTCAATCAGATTAATTTCAACCAGAATGACATTTCAATAATTCCGTTATCTTATGAGAGATCAATTAATTAAAGTATAAGACTTTTTCCGCTTTGCCTGTTCGAGTTTGTAGTGTTCAAACTTTAACGAAATTGCGCGACAAGGAAGGAGTTCAATTACTCCGTAAGTCTGTAATCTTTTAACATTTGATCAAATGGTAGGCATAGTCTTTTTTTCTGCTCGATCGACTTTTTACAGAAACATGAAACTCCCCGACAATGTTAAAGCTCTTGATCGGCTCTGCTACAATTCACAAACTGGGTCTAAGTATGTCGGGTGTGTTATATGTGTAAAAAGAAAAATAACTTCTCGTACCGGAGACTGTAAATTACACGACAAGACTATGCACGTTCTCTATAAAACTCAAAATGAAAAAACGAGAGATAGGTGACCACAAACGAAAACGGCAATGGTAATCAGAATAATCGTAATCAATGAGTAACAACGAAAGAAACGACAGTAGTGAGTAATAATGATCTAGCGTATATAGATATATTTATACGTAGAAACACATTGAGTTTTGTGTTAACGAACGCTTGAATCAAGTAAGGGCAATTGGCCTTGGTTTCAGGGTAACTAGGCAGGCACACCTTGCTGGTTCGGTCTGGTTGGGGCGGTGTCGCCCGACGCTCGTAGTGCCTCTCCGGCTGTTGATAAAGGGGGATCTGCAAACCCATTCGGAAACGTGTTCTCGCAGTACGCTAGTAGTCGGTTTGTACATATTGTTTTTTTTGTACTCGTGTGTGTGTGTGTATGTCTGAGAATTAAAAGAGTCCTGTGCGTGTTAGTGTGTATGCATGTGGATGTACAGGTAAGATTGTATTTTATCCATACAACAGTGACGAACAATTGTGTGATGCCTCTACCCTCTAAATTTCTAATTTCGAAAAAGTTAAAATACTACCATATTGAAAAGAGTGAAAATATTTGTATTCTTAAATAAGAGTGGCAGATTTTCTTTTTTAGAGTGAGATTTCGCTCTTTTACAGTGAAATTTATTAAAAAAGGAATGATATTTCTTTACTTTGGAGTGAAGCTTACTGTAAAAGGGTGAAATCTCACTCCAAAAAGGAGTGAAAATCTGCTATTCTTATTCAAGAATGCAAATATTTTCACTTTTTTCAATAGTGGCAGTATTTTTATTTTTTTGAAGTGAGATTCCACTCCAAGAAATTTAGAGAGTATTCTACAATTGCGTAAAGGTTATAAGAATTGATTAGTCACAGTCAAATATTTGCTTCAAATTTGACTGTGATTGGTCAATTTTTATAGTTACTTACAACTACGCTTACGCAATTGTAAAATGCTTAATACTTAGGAAAGATATGAGGATCGTTATATTGTGTTCACTTGATTATTTAAGAAAGTAAGTGGATGTAAGAGGACGACAATATTTTTCGATTAGACGATTTAGGATAAGCCTTGTAAGATATAATGTTGTGTGTAGAGTGGCGTGATAATCACGCGTGTGCTTGTGGTTCTTCGTTTTCAGGATGTATTGTATATGTATATCTATTCGGTATAAAGATTTTTCGCTGCTATAGATTAATGGATAAATTGTCGGCTCTGTTCTTGCATTGAAACGGTGGAGGGATAAACATATAATTGTATATGTGTATGTGTATTATGAAAGACAACCGTCCGATTTGTTATATTGTATATATCAATGTTGATTGTGTCTGATAATAAATACGAGAACTTGAAATAAAAAATTGTAAGTGCTGTTTTTTTTACAGTGTATTTGTATACTTTTTGAATAAATTAAATATTTTGTGAAAAGCAATTTATTTATTTTGCACTTACAGTCTTTTTATGCCAAGTTTTGCATTTTTCTATATAGCAAAGTATATAAAACAATGAATTAGCCAATAGTTAGCCATTAGTTTAAATTAAAATAATTTCACTACAAATATAGCAGCCCGTATATTTTATAGTCTGCCCATTGAAGAGATGATAATCAACTTTGATTGAATCATGCGAAATGATTTATAAATTAACTACCAGTGCGCATTTTCTTAACGCAAAATGTGATATACGTATACAGTGAAAGTTTTATTCCTCACGCTTCGAAAATAAGTATGACAACGACATCAATAACAACGAAGAAGAGAAGATGAATGGAAAATATTTGGCTAAGTTTCATCTTAAATGGATCTACATTTTCAATTATCCTTCTATTAGCGTCTATGAATAGTGGCGCCACAAATTACTATTTTCGTTGTCGTTGGCATACTTTCAAAGTTATTAATATTTTCATTAATATTTTCACCAAAGGCGGTATAAGAACTGATTTAATTTTGCGTTAATTAATTGAGAAAACATTTTATCCCCAATTTAACGAAAACGATTTATCGTGAATTCGACGAAGAAAGAGAATACGGGGTAGCGATTCTCGACATCGTATTTCGATCGCATTGTGGTCGGTACGTTTGCCTCGCGCATTTCTTCGCTGCTATTTGACAAACTATAGTTAATTTGTTCAAAAACGATATCGATACCCGGATGCGTGACGAGTCTATTGCACTTGGAACGCAGTTTTCCCTCGCGCATATAATTTTTTTTCGCGCATACATTTTTTTTTCAGCATATATCTTTGTACAACAGAACAGAACAGAGAGGAAAAAGCAGAGGGAGGCAATAGTAACGTTTCAAGGCAAGCGTAATAAGATTTTCAGCGAATGACAGACTGCTATCTCGATTGGACGAAAAGCCTGATTGATTCGTTGGTCTCTTCGCTGTGCCACGATTTTTACGCTAACAGCGCGAGCACAAATAACGTAACACAAAAACGTTATCCCACGTAAATACAATCGCCGACGTGCGGAAGCACCGAAAGGTAGCAATAATTTCTCAATCCAATTAACCCACTCAAACAATTAATGCACTTGCAGTTCATTTGCCGTATAATTGACCTGGTGAGATATATATACAACATGTACACACGAATATTTGATTCATTTTCTTATTACTGTAATAATATACATGTTTCATAATCTTTCTATTCTGTAGCTGCAACAACCACTTCGCAGTACTTTGTTTAAATTTTTAAACATTTAGTGAAGAAATAGCGAGATATATTTGTAGTAAAATAAAATAGAGACGCGAATTTATGAGAATTTATAAAGACATAAAAACCAGATTGTTCTTTTTACCTTTTGTTATTCATTTTGTTATTTCTTTTATCTTTCGAAATGATTCTCCAATTGAATGAAAAGAATGGGCGATATGTTCACGCATTGCTTCTATTATCGAATATATATACATTTGTTTAGGAGGACAGTTACTTACCGTCGACGAATCGTCATACCATTACATCACGTGCACAAAATCGACATGTGCGTTAAAACGAGAGCAAAAAGTAACGAGTAAGATACGAATAGCGAACAACAACAATTATCGGTGCATCGAAAGGACAATGAAAAATATAATAAAATGTTGTCGTATTGTGTCACGAGATTCTCTTTGTATCGAGTTTCACGGTGTATTAACGATGATTCTGCGGTACACGCAATTGCACGTGTACGTGTATCTTTTTTCCTCTATTTGCTTTTTCGTCACGCTATCTCTCCGCTTGTGTCCGCGAATTGTTTGTTAGAGGTATTACCTATTGTTACGACTATTATCTGTTTTATGCTCCTCTCGGTGCGGTGAAATGATCGAGCAAGGGAGAACAGCTGATTCTAATTAACGATTATTATTATCGTGAGAGAGAAAGATAGACGGAAGGATTGGAAACTTTCTTGTAGAGTGGAAATTTCGGGGTATCACGGGATATATTGAGTAGAGCCGTGGGGACACTTATTAGATGTTCAGCAACGGAAAGCGAAACATAATCTAATCATCCGAGAGTCCAGTTCGAAAAAATTCCCCGCAGTGGTGGACTGAGACATTTATGACAACGATGAAAAAGTAATTTTGTTAAGAATCCTATTTTCGCTACATATACCTAAAAAAGATTTGTACATACATATTCGATCGACTGAACTTTATTGATGAAAATCTTATGACAAAGGGAGACTCTTTGCACATAATGAGAATGAAATTCTCATTTAATGAGTGCAAATTCGAGAAAACTTCGTAAAAAAGATTGCCTGTCAGACAGAATCCACCACTGACGTGAGAACTTCGCTAGTAAGACTCAATGAGTCATCTGCGATTAAATATTCACGTAAAGGTACGAAAGTGGGCTGACTTGTTGCCTTTATCTCCTCCGATTCTCTACAGCGACCATATATCACAGGCATAGACATAATTATTTAATATCCCACATAAAATGCGGAAGGTGATTTCTGCAATTGATAGATTCAAAAAACTGACAATCGACATTAATTAACTCATTAAGCTTCATTGTCTACAGGAAAAGCAGTAGTTTCGTAGGAGGAAAAATCGTTTGTCAGCTTTCTGAATCCGTTAAAGGTCACCAAACGCTTCTCCTTTTCTCTTTTTTTTTTATATACGTAAATTATACACGAACTACACGTATCGTATGTTTACAAAATAAGAACAGTGCTGTATAGTAAGTAGCAGAACACTCACATAGACCTCTTCCCATTGCGAGACATACCGCACCAGTCTTGACAAACGTAGTAACCTAACGAGTGATAACAGTTTTGCAAGCCTGAGGATCCTGAGAGCACGTCCAGCATGCAGGATCTGGAAGGACTCGCTGAAGTCCTGAAACTTGCGAATTTCTTCGTTACTGTAATATTTGATTCTCCGAGTGTCAGTAAACAAGTGTGCAAATATTCAGAGTTATTTAGAAAATTGTTCAGAAAATTATTCAGAAAATCGTTTCATGATTCATTAATTTTATATTTATACAATATAATAATATATATTATAAGACATTTCTTATTTTATATTAATGTTATTGTATTTTTAGGTCTTTAAAATTTTATTATTTCATTTCTTTTTAATTTTACATTTAACATATTATTCTAGAGAAATTATATAAAGAATTATAATAAAAGTCTTTTTTTACATTAATTATATATATTATATGTATCGTGAAAAATGTACTTGTATGTACATGAAAATGTATTATTTATTAATTTGGTTTAAGAGAAAGTTATTTTTATGATTTTTCATAAAGCAGGGCATTATATTTTGTATTTCAGCGGAGCACATGAAAGTATTACGTATTTTATATTTAAAATCGAAAAAATGGTAAGTTTTGTACTTTGTAATTCAAATAATAATAATAATTAATTGTCTTATTGGAAATACAAAATACAAGATATTTTCAATATTTTGTTATTAATATTGAAATACAAAATACTTTTATATGCTCCCATAAAATACAAAATACAAAATATTTGCATGTGCTCCGTTGAAATGTACATTACAAAATACAATTGTCTTACAAATATTGTGTTTCAAATAAAAATATTTCAAGTACATGTCTAGCCCAGCTCTGTCATAAAGTGTGTACAGCGAGTTAATAACTTACGATTTAACAAGGAATAAGGTTGCGTAGGACGATGTAGACATACTTACTTGATTAAATATGAGGAAAATGTAGTCTAATGGTATGGAGGAGATGAGGTCGAGAAAGAACCAAGTCCTGAGGTAGTGTTTCGCGATTAACTTCGGATCCAGTATCACCTGTTCGGCATTATCCTGCTGCATTATACCTGCAACGAAAGAATTTTACTCCGGTGTTTTCCACATCAATGATTTTCCAAAGCCTGCGAAGCTCAAGCTGCCGGAAAAACGCTAATGTTGTTACCTCACGCTCTGGCGACTTGCCATCGATTCGACAGTTTGTCACGTTGCCGTTCTCGCGCATCTGATGCACCCATTATGTATATATAATACGTAATTTAACAATTGGAAAAAACAATTATTGAATTATTACAGATAAATACAAGAAAAAGAATTATTAAGAATATTACTGTTCCGTGCTATAAAATATTTGAACGGGATACCGGAATAATGCGACTTAGAAATTTTTAATTATCGCGAATCGACACAAAGCTATGCAATATAATATAATGATTTCCATCGGTTGCAGTTCGTGACCTAATTCCGCGTTTACGAAACCGATTCAAACACGTTTCAAATTAATCCCTTGGTAATAACGAAATGTCAAGGAGTTAGGAGTATTCTCTTCCCCTAACAATACTGTCATTGTGTATTGTCGAGACCAGCAAGAGCGCAAATAGATGATCCTTGCACTGCATCTGTTTTCACCGGTATCTTATACTTGGGAACAAGGACGAGTCGCGAAAGAAAAAATTCCAAAGTGGTAGACCGTTTTTGAAATCTTAAATATAAAAAATTGGAAAAATTCTTAAAGAAAATTTCGCTGGTTTTGTTCTTAAAGAAGAAAAAATTACTTATTATCGGCACGGCAATTTTGCAATTTTCAAAATTTGCATTTCTAACTTTGCACAGTTGTAGAAGTCAAGATATCGAAAAATAATCTTAGAAAAATTGATGAAAATATGATTGATTTTATTTCTTTAAGTATTTTTTACTTAAAATTTAACTTTTAAATATTTTTTTATATTAAGTCTTGAGAAATTTTATCACGTATAAAAGATGAGTTTTTGTAAAATATTCTAATGTGTGTAATATTCTAAACGCTTTGATTCTCGACAAATCATAATTTATGCCGATTATTGCGAGGAAATGATGCGAAATATAATGTCAACTGGAATTTTGTATGTTGCGAAGATACTATGGTATAAGCAACACCTAATAGTATTATATGAAAGTTTCAAAAGACGTTACTAATATTGTTAACTGTTACTGCGACAACGCAGATGTTCTTGCACAAATCCTGTTGATATGAAAGATTAAAACTGAAATTTCTCAGCAGTACACGTTTGCGAATTTAAAATATTTTATCACGAATTCCAATTAAAGTGATGAGAATTTATTATAATGGGGAATTAATAATAAGCAAATCGATCGAATGTCACTCACCCGTCCTGAAGTTGACGACGATGTCTATAAGGAATATCGTGTCGGAAAGGCAGTTGAAGGCTATCCATCTAGTGCTTAGGTCGTCATTGAAAAAACTAATGGCGACTGGCAGAATTATCAGATTAGCTACCAGTAGGAGGAGCATGCAGAGGTCCCAATAGAATCTGAAATAAGAAAAATCAATACATTAAAATAAATCTATAAAATGACAATTAATATCGGATACTACTGTTTAAAAAGTGAATTTTAAATTTTAGAAGCGTTGATTTTAACGCAATTTAAGATTTCTTCTTACTTAACTTTATTTAGACATAATAATCGTTTTATATTCTCAATTTCAGGTATCTTGAATCAATAGGGGGGATTGTAAGGATTTGGTTGCAATCTTGGTTAAAATGATTTTCAAAATCTGATCCAACTCTCACCTCAACTGTAAATCTTTAAAATCAGATTTCGTAAATTCTTTTTTAAATATATATATATATATATATATATATATATATACAAGTATATATGTATATATATGTGAGTGTGTGTGTGTGTATTATATATCTTTATATGTATACATATATTTTTATGTAAAATATATTAAACAAAAATATTTTTATGTTGATTTTACTAAAGAGTAGTTTATTATTATTTTTTTTTTTTTACATTAATTCATTTCTTGTGAAGTATTTTTGAAGCAATTTTATACAGTAAAATTATTTAATTAATAAAGAATATTTGTGCATATTATTTAACTTAGAATAAATGATTTATTATTACATTAATATTGTGAGACTTCGATCTAGAAGTTGGAATCAATTTCGTACAGAAACAAGATAGATAACACGGTTCGAATGCTGATTGCAAATAGTACGAATTTACATTTTATTGCTACCGATACACAAGTTTATTTGACATTTTTGATCCGCCTAATCGGTTACGGAATCATTAGTCTGCAAAGTGGCTCACGTGAATAAGAATGAGGGTAATTTTTCATCATTTCGCGGAAGAGGTAGTAGAAGATTTATAGCGATGAAAGAGAGAGACGATTTCTCTCGGGAAGATTAGGTAGAAGTGCAGAATAAACTTTTCTACTTTGTGCTTTTAAAGAGAAGCAATCGATTGTAGACATTGTTGATGGTCCAAAAATTATTGCAACATTTGATTATTCGATATTACAAAAATCTACAGTCCTGATTAATTCAGTACAAATTCAGATAAATAATAATAATGGTTTTATTAAATTTTGATAAATATATAAAAAGTAGTGATTATACACTACTTTTTATATGTTTGCTCTTAAAAAGTTTAAGACCAAGTTTTAAAGACTTAATTTTATGTTCTTTTTATTTAAAATATCCGCAAGTCCAATTTTATTTTTTACTGCAGCATAATATGACGCTGAAGATATAATTAAGTAAAAAAACAATTATCAGAATTGCACTATTTGTTTTATAATTTTACCAAAAATTATAAAACAAATAGTGCAATTCTAGTAATTATGTATTTTAAGATTATATCACATTGGTCCTAAATTTTCTGACGGTAGTGTATATTACAAGCAGAAGATGAGACTGTAACTGAATCTAACGACTAGCTAATATAATGTCTTATCTAATTAGTTATATAATTACATAAATATATAATTGACATAATGATATAAATATATAATATTATCTAGTTACAATACAAAACTTGTTATAGGCAATCATAAGATGAAGAAATTATATTTAATTATCGAAATAAGATCTCGTCTATGTAAGAATTTAAGACAAATAAAAATTTAAATTTTATTTAAATTTTTGTCTTGAAACAATAATTTGTTGAATTGGGATTGTTGAAATACAAATTACATTGAATCAATTACGAATACTAATGTATAATTAATCACGCTTTCAAATAGAGATTGAAACTGAATTGTACGCGAAACATGATGAGATTACTTTTCATAATACTATATGTTTTTGGTTAGTTCCGAATGTACGATGAAAGTAAGGACCAATGAGTGTGTGAGGCGGACACTTTCGATGGACATTGGTAACTTTGCCATCTGTGCCGCAAATTGTGATGTTTAATGAACAAACTCGCTAATTTCGCAACTTTGGAATTTTCAATCAGATATGCGACGCGTCGAAGTTATATATCGGTAGTCCATTTCGATGTAAAACATTTCAACTTTTCTGTGGTCTAACGGGAACAATGGATAATACAAAGTTGCACAATATGGCGACGGTGAAATCATGCATATGGATGAGTATAAGTCTAATTACTCTTTGATATTTATGGCTGCGTATATTCCTTTATTAACTAATTATTATGCTGAATAATCTCTTTAATTTAATACGGTGATATAATTTTCTTTGACGTATATTTAATCCATTGTTTATTTAGAAATGCAATAATGTTAAGGAATATTTATCGTAGATTAATTTCTTGGTATCCAAGAATATAATTGTATTCGTGAAAATACAGCATATATTTAAGTATTTGAAATATAATATATTGTATATGCAGAACATATTTGGGACTTATTAATAAATATTTAAATTGTCGTTTTATCGCAAAACAGCATTATAGAAAATTGTGCAAAATATTATAAATTTAATGTTATTTGATGTTTTTATATTATAAACTTCACAAATCCAATAATTTAGTTTGAAAGTTACATTAACATTATCATATTCGAAAAATTTCATCTTAATACGAAATCTTTGATGCATAGATATATGACAGTTAATGTTTATAAGACAAAATAATACAAAAATAATATTACGGGCCATCACTTTTGTAGCAACATTTATCTTAACATAATGCATTATGGTACAAATTGCTATATTGTAACCGAATAATTTAATTATTTCCTTCTTTTTTTTCAGCAAATTGCTACCGTAATGTAATTAAGCCGTTACACACGCGCGTGCGGGGAGAGGGAGGGGGGGGGGGGGGAGAGAGAGAGAGAGAGAAAGAGAGAAAAAGATGAGCGCAATGCATTTTCTTAACTTCCATTCTTCTCCTGAAAACAATGGCCAAAAGTTGATGCAGTAATTATATAAGGTTTAAGATTTTCAAATTATCTATCATTATTTTTCTGGAACTTCTTGTTTAAATAGATCTTAGAGGTAATTACAGGCATTATCTGCTAATGGAGCGTATAATTTACTCTTCTTCTTATTTTGCGAAAAAGATAAATTAGAAACTTTGAATTTTTTTCAAAATATTTTTCTCAAAGCTAAGCCTTTGAGTGCTCGTGCATTCTTGTCTTAGCCACCGTCTCAATTTATTCTCGTAGAATGAATTTACTTTATTAGCCTTTGTGGCTTACGACGCCACTGTTGCAACCAAAGTGCTGGGGTCAAGAGGTAGTATAGGGATTAGTCTATAAAACTGTAAGGCAGTTACTAAGCTCTTGTTCCCGTAGTTTGCAAAGTATACGCATCTTACGACGACATAATACATCAACGTTATGAAGAAAATAATGTACTTGCAGAGAAGCCTTTAAAATGCAAAGTTATCGTCAGTGAAACTCAATTTTTGAGAGCTCGACTTTAATCAGTTCGATTTTAATCCAAGCAACATTGGCCCACTTTTCGGAGTAATAACATTGCTACTTCAGATAATAAATATGCCCGTATGTCACGACATATACCTGAATCTCCAACATTCACTTATACATCTCTCTCTTATCTCTCTCACGCTCCTTGTCTTCCTGTCTCTTTTCCTCAATTAAAAAATTTGATTTATTTTGGTCGTTCAAACGCAAACTGCATACATATCTCTACAAAAGAATTTTAAAAACTGCATTCATACTAATACATTCGTACTAAAATTTATCTTCACGTACCAGTAGATTTGTTTGTTTTGTAAATTGTTTTGCGAATTACATTATTTCGATTTTTACTTTTTTTTATCTTCGCTTTTTATTCCATTTTAACTCGTTGTTATATTTAGTATAATGTCAAATATTATAGTTATAACATGTTTTTATGTATAATCGTCAACACTTACTGCATGTCCAAAAAGATTTTATTTCAGAATATCATAAGCACTTTTCTCTCTTTCTTCCGATTTCATCTTTTTTATCTATATTATGCAGATCATGAGAGAACACGCACGTAGTTCAAACTTTTGCATGTCTGGCTTGGATCGCTACACGCGACTACATCCTGCCCATGTCGTTGAAATACTTTGCGGAAGGAAGCAATACTCGTGGGCATTTCATGCTGGTGTGACGGTATCTTCGACAGCATTCTTTGCCACGGCAATTTCATTTAGTCTCGTGTGCACACTACTGTGATATTGCACGCCATTTTTCGACCAGCAACGATGCGTAACGATACCGGAAACGTTTCATTCGCGTCGAATACAAATCGCCTACTCGGCGCACTCGAATTTATTCCCCGTTACAAAGCGACGCATTCCAAAGAAAGTTTGTGGATAATCCGTGCGCACGCCATTAGTATCTGTCTCTGCCGCATTTAATTAAATTATGCGAACATGGGGGCGATAAGGCGCGACTATACTTCATTTAAATTCGAGCTTATGTTGGTAAACCGCACTAAAATACCGGACAAGTCGACATTAATTCTAATTAATTAATTAGGTAATGCTTATAAATGTGTGTTGACGACATATATTTAAAAATTTAATCACTTCTTGGCGTTGCGGATGAATTTGAGCACAAGTCGGTAGAATTTAACTTGTATTAATTTTTATAACATTAAAAAATGAGAAAGAGAGAGAGAGAGAGAGAGAGAGAGAGAGAGAAAGAAATTAATTGAGTTAGTGTTTCATCAAACTAATTGTAAGTGTTTATCAAAAAGGATTTTATGTGTGTTTTATGAAATAATTCGAATAATTTAAAATATTGTATATAGAGTATAAATATCTTTCGTAAAAATATAATTTGAAAATATAATAAACATGTTGAATTATTAAAATTATAAATAATTTTAAAGAAAATAAAGGAAAAAGAGAAATATAAATTGTGAAAAATAGGAAAGATATACATTTTAATATTCTAAAGAAGAACCACAGTACTAAAATAGAATGAAATGGAATATTTTCGTAGCATAATAAACTATAGCAGCTCACTGCGTGAAATTAATTCGACAATATTGGAAATGAGAAGAAGATTGATGGGCGATCGTTCCCAATACAGCTATAGATCAAACAATTC